GCTTTGCTGTCCCTCCCACAGCAGCCTCCAAGCACGTGAACTGAGAGCAGGGAGAATTCTCCTGTGCTCTCAAGGACTTCCCAATCTCCCCCTAGACAGCATGGAGGAAAAAGCTGTTTGATTTGAATGTAGCGGGGACAAAAGCCGGACCTCGAGGGGCAAGGGGAGTAGACTGAAACTAGGTGACTGGGGCAGGAAAGACGAGAGACTAGAGGATGGGGAGTGGAGACTGGGACTGGCGGTCATAGAGACTGGGAAAAAAGAGTAGGGGGTGGGAGATGTAGGACTGGCTGGGCAAGGATGTGGATGAGAAGGTTGAGTGGGGCGGAGACTGGTACTGGCTAGGTGAGGAGAATGGGATGAGACTGCAGGGATGACACAACAGGGACAGGTAGGAGGGGACAGGGCAAAAAAAGGTCAAGCTTGGGGGGAAATGGACAGAAGAATCTGTGGCCATTACAGGACACTTCCCTTCAGAGCCTGGAATGGAACCCAAGATCCCTGAGTCTCACCACTTCTTTGCTGTCAGCAAATAACTGTGAAACTCATAGGCAAAGTGTCTCATCCCCCTCTGGTCCACACAGAAGGTAACAACCTGCTACTAATCTCAGTTACTCCAGAACCTATAGCAGGTCTAGGGAAAACAGTGGGCCTAAGCCTGCCTTAGCTAAAGGCCCTCCCCTTGGCTTGGGGGAGCGGCCAGTGGACCAGAGCTACAAACAACTATGGAGGACAAGCAAAAAAACAGAGACAAGAGTGAAGGTCACAGGGCAAAAATCAGGTGAACAGAAAGGAGTACCCTGCAGAGAGCCCCTGACAGCGCCCACTGTTCATCAAAGGCATCTAGGGAGTCAGTGGATATTGCCCAGAGTAACTTTGCTCGGAGGTGTGACTGTACAGGGAGCACTTGAGATTCTGGGGTCTGATTATCAGAAGTGCTGAGCAACTAAGTTCCCTCTAAGCTGCGCGGCTCTGCAGCAAGCTATCAAGGACTGCGTTGGGGCGACGAGAGGCGTCTCTCCCCCATAGCTGCCACGGCTGGGGAGAGGCGCCTCTCCCCCGGCCCCCTAGCTGCTGTGGCCAGGTAGAGGTGCCTCTCCCCCGGCCCTGTAGCTGCACCGGTGGGGAGAGGTGCTCTCCACCGGCCTAGGGCTGCTGTGATGAGAGAGGGCTAGGGGGGGAGTCCTCTCTCCCCAGGGCAGCCTGCACCCCAAACCCCTCATCCCCAAGCCCACCCCAGAGCCCGCACTCCTAGCCAGCACCCTCACCCCCCCCGCACCTCAACCCTCTGCCCCAACCCTGAGCCCCCACCCACACTCCAAACCCCTTAGCCCCACCCTGGCCACACATCACCTCCATATTGGTGCACATAACTAAATTCATTCCGCACATACATGCAAAAAAATTAGAGGGAACATGGCTGAGCACTTGCAGCTGCAACCGCAGTCAACGGGAGCTGAGCTTTGAACATATAAAGTGCTATATAATGCTACGTTCTCTGAAACATCAGGTCCTAGGCACTTGAAACTGGGCACCCAAAGTTAGCGGATAGTTTTGACCTTAAATCGTGTCTCTGTTTCCCATGTATAAAATGGAGAAGATACCCCTCATATCACAGGGCTGTTTTAAAAATTGATTAATATTTGTGAAGCTCTGTAGAGATGAGCACCACAGAAAAGCCCATGTGTAAATTAAGAACTGGCTTCAGAGCAATGATGAAGCAATAAACTAAGGCCTGGGGCCACACAGCGAAAAGGAGAAAACAAAATAGAGAATAGTTGCTCATGAAGTGAGTGAATGGTATCCATTATGCGTGCTGAATGAGACAAGGGTCCTGTGGAATTTGCTGATTTTTGAGTGCTTGACTCTGTACCCTTAAGGTTCTTTTAACGTAATTTTTTGTGTGCATGTAATTTACACATATGCACCTGTCTTGGAACAGAGGTGATCAGGCAGCATGCAGGCAATCCTTTCTTCCAGGGATCTCAGCCCATGGCTCAGCATCACTGATTTCTCCTTCACTGGGGAGCTGACCTACCCGACTTTTATGTCAACTTCCACTCAGCAGAGGGGAGACAGTGGTGGGGGAACAAAAGGCGACCGCATTCTTCCCCTCTAAGATGGTAAATGTGTCATGAGGCCCTGTCCTGCTCCTATTGACTGCTACGGAGGCAGAGTATGGCCTTTAGTCTGCTGCAAAGCACCATGTAAGTTTATGGTGCCACACAAATAATTGTAGTACTGGTAAGTCAGACCTACCTGCTTCACAGGACCGTTGAGACTTCCTGGAGTGTCTCAAGCCACTGTAAAAACATTAAGTACTGCATAAGGTGTCTAGTAACCTTATTAGTAGGGTGACCAGATAGCAAGTATAAGGAAAAAAAAAACCCAAATCAGGACTGTCCCTATAAAATCGGGACATCTGATCACCTTACTTATCAGGACAGATATGTCGCTTTTTACGTGACCCCTGGTTCTGATGGCTCACCTGTTCAAAAGCAGCTTAGCTCCACTGGGGCTATTAACAGGAACTCCACTTGGCTGCTGCTAGCCCCAGGGTGGCTATGCAGAAAGGGTGTGGGGGTGGGGGAATGCTGCCTGGAGCTGACCTGCATTCTTCCCCCCCCCCCTCCCCCCCCCCGGGCAAGGTCCCTACAGGGCTTGAGATGGTGCATTCCCAACCACCGCTCACTCCTCCAGTCACCTGGCCCTGACTCCAGCTGCACAGCAAGGCTCTGCCAAGTCCAGGGTGAAGCGGGGGACAAAAGGCTTGGGTCAGCAGCGTAACAGAGGCACCTGCCCTCTTCAGTGTAAAAGGGGTGGGGAAATCCAAGCTGAGGAGGACCCACCCAGTCATATGCAGCCAGTACCAGTTAATAGGGAAGGGACTGAACAGCAATGTCTGGCAGCATTCTCAGAATGGCTCCAATCGTAAACTTTGTGGTTGGATTTTACTTCCTCAGCATTCAGGAGCAGTTTCGTTCAGGCCTATCTCTGCTAGCAAATACTGTAAAAAAACAACCACCCTGCAGCAGCTCTCAGCCATATGACTTAGTGCTTAATACCTAGCTCTCTCCTCCACCCCCACCCCTTTGTCTTCATGTTCTATGCAAGGTCATTTTTCAAACATCCCACCCCCCCGCCCCCATCCCTTTTACAGTGACTACTATCATACCGCTAGGAAAAGAACTCACTCTCCCAGGCAGACTGCAAGGGCTGTAAAAATACTTATCAGAAGGATATCAGAATGTTTCTCCTTAAATCGGGTCTGTACTCCTCCAGTCTTTATCCGCAAACAGAACGTGACATTTTGGGAACTATTATGAATAGGAGAGATTTCTGCTAAACTGCGGTTGAAAACCTGAAACCCTTTTAAGCGGACTGAAGCAATTATAAAGTATATTGTAGCGTTTCTCTCTGACATTTGAAATAAGTGTTTTTTTTCTTCAAAAGCCACAAATGCTGTACTAGACAAAAAATACGTTTCACTGTTGCTTCTTCCTGAAGTAGGAATGGCTAGATGTATGGGTCACATACCTATGCTTTCACTATTACAATGTTCATTTCCTAGTATAAATATAGCCCCTTGTTTACCGATGGATTACAGAAGCTCAACTGTAAAACCGCAGTCCAGTAAGCAATAATCCAGTCTTGCTGTGTGGGTAAAGTAATAATTGCCCCTCTAAAACTCGATCCTATCGTCAACATGCAAGTTTCACATTTCAGATGTCAAAAGGGATCTCTAGGCGTCTAAAACACAGTGGCATCAGAGGAGCCGTGGATTCTCCATCACTGACAATTTGTCAATCAAGCTTGGATGTGCTTATAAAAGATATACTCTATGAATTATTTGGGAGGTTACTGGACACCTTACACAGCACATTATGAAGTTCTATGGCATGTCTTATACAGGAGATCAGACTGGATAATCACGATGGTCCCTTCTGGCCTTAGTATGTACAACTCTCTATGCGGTTCTGATTTTATAAATAGATGAATATGCAACAAAGGAAAGTCGACTGGTATGCTTTGCATTGGCAAGGGGAACTCGCCAGGTAGTGTATAAAGTTGAGATAATCAGTAGCACTTCCCAGGACCACCAGAGGAAGGTCAGAATCATCTCTAACCCTTCCCCTCCCCAGTCCAGTTCTAAGCGCCTCCCCGCTGTCCAGCTGCTTCCACTTATGCATCAGATGGTTATGGACTGCGGAGCTTCCTAAAAACACACAGCTGGTGGTAACAAAACTCTCAGCAGCCCCATCACCTACTTGGCCCCATCACCTTGGCTGAGTCAGCCAGGAGCATAAGGGGTCCCAGCTGGTCTACGCCGAATCAGCACCATTCATCCTGCTTGCAGTTTGTGTGTCACTATTTGAACAATACCGAGCCCCAGCTAAGCGAGTCACTGGACTAAAGTGCTGCCCTTAGGTCATCCGAAGGGCAAGGCCCGGGCGTTCTCAACCCACGGCTGTGCCCGGGCCCCCCTGCGTCAGTCAGCGGCTGGGTTTCCTCGCCCCCGGCCCCAGGCTGGGCGGAGAAGGGAAGAGGGCCGAGTCTTCTGAGGGGATGAGCCAGGGCAGGGCGAGGGCACCCAGACACAGAAGCCAAAACCCGGACTATCTGGGTACAACACACCCGGGGGGGGGGGGGGGGGTACAACACACCCGGGGGGGGGGGTACAACACACCCGGGGCGGGGGGGGGGGGGCAACCCTAGGCTGGGGCGGGACCCGGGGGAGACTCCCTGCAGCTCCTGGCTGTAGCATACCAGGCTAGTCCCACTCCCCCATAAGCTATGGGTCTGGGGGCACAGGTGCTGGAACAAGGGGGGCTGCTGCCCCCCGCCTCCCGGGGCTTGAAGTGGTTTCCATTATATCCAGGATTTACAGTTTGGTTCAGTGGCTCTCAGCACCCTCGCTGTACACATCGGCCGGGACAGCCCCCTCCCCTTCTCCGCAGCCGCTCCCCGGGCAGGTGGGCACCCACCCGCGCCCCCCTTACCTGCCGAGAGGAGGAGGAGGAGGAGGAGGGCAAGGCGAGCCGGGCAGTCCATGGTGCGCCGCGGCGGGCCAGAAGCAGCAGGCGGGCGAGAGCGGGGCGCACTCAGCAGCTGCAGCCTCCCCGGCGCTGAGCTCCGCGCGTCTGCTCCATGCCCGGCCCCTCGGCAGGCTGCGGCCGCCGGCCCCGGCAGCCAAACCCCTCCCACGCCGCCCTGCCTTCCCCCGGGGGAGCGGGCCCGCGGCGGCCGGGCGGCCTCTGCTGGACGGTGCGGGGGGGGGCCCGTTTGCAGGGGCGCACCTCGCCCCCCATTCAGGTGCCTGCACCCCGGTTCCTAGCGCTTCCCCCTCCCCGGCAGCCGGGATTGGGGCAGGGGCCCAGGAGTGGTGCCACGGATCGGGGCCCCATTGTGCTGGGCGCTGTACAAATCCAGGGAGAGTGGCTGTCCCTGCCCCATAGAGTTCACACTCCAACTCCACGAGACAAGGGGTGGGCTGGGAACTAGCTGCTCAGGGAGGGGAACAAGTTCCCTGGACGACTTCATGGTACCCTTGGCTCCAGGAAGTCACAGGTCACCAGATGCTCAGGGTTAAATGTTTTAGGTATGTATAGTAATCATTAGCAGTCATCCCCTCTGATCAAATGTAACCCCTCCCCCCCCCCCCAAGTCACACACCATAATGGCATGGTGAAATGTGTGTAGTGCTATGAACATAAACTGAACTTATGACAGAAATGTGTTTATTACCAGACAAATCTGGGGAGTGGGTAAACTTGTTCCTCAGAAACAAAGGACAAGCTACCGCCTCTAGCCAGGTGTCATCAAAGTTGATTGGCAATCCCTTGTCAAGTGATTGTGTATCCTGGAAACATGGCTGGTTGAAAAACTTGCTTTTAAAATTCCACCATATATTGCCTTTAGGCAAGACCAAAAACTAGAAAGGGGATGAGGCGAATGGGGGCTGCGGGAACCTCACCCACTGACTCCTGAAATAGACCCCTAACCTCTGGCTGAATTACTGGAGTGCTCAAATCATGATTTAAAGATTTCAAGTTACAGAGACTCCACCATTTACACTAGTTTAAACCTGAAAAGTGACCTGTGCTCCATGCTGCAGAGGAAGCCAACCCCACCCAAGGGTCTCTTCCAATCTGACCCAGGGGAAAATTCTTTCCTGACCTCAAATATAGCAATCAGTTAGACTCTCAGCATGTGAGCAAAACCCACCAGCCAGATACCTAGGAAAGAATTCTCTGTAGTAACTCAGAGCCCTCCCCATCTAGTGTCCCATCATCAGCTGTTGGAGATATTTGATGCTAGCAATCGCAGATCGGCTACATGCCATTGTAGGTAGTCTTGTCATACCATCCCCTCCATAAACTTATGAAGCTCTGTCTTGAAACAAGTTAATTTTTTTGCCCCCACTGCTCCCCTTGATCATGAGAAAGCAGAAGTTTTATCAGAAACTTTCTGAGGAGTGACTAAACCAAAGTAAAGTTTTCTACCAGATTAAAAGATAATTAATTAAAAAGAATCATGATCTAATATGTAGTTGGAGTCAACATGAAGATACTGTACTGAATGAATGGTTTTGTATGCAAGAAGCTGAGAAAGCTATTCACATCATCAAGAGTACATCCCCAGGTAAAGATAAGATATGTAACATAACGTTTAAATACCTCTCCGAAAGCAGTTTGAGGATTATCTTTGAATTATTTAATGCTACTTGGGAAAAATGAGTGATCTGGGTAGGGTGTAAACATGCAGTTGTAATCCCAGTATGAAAACCAGGAAACTGTTCACAGAAGTGGATGCCTGTAAGGTGGCATGTACTGTCTGGGTACAATTATGGAAAGAGTGGTGTATGAATGATTCGTTGTCTATTTGGAAAACAATGGCATTATAGACAAGGTCCAGAGTGGTTTTAGGAGAGGAAGATGCCCCATGGATAACACTGCTAAATTAGAAAATGAAACATAAAAAAGTCTGAAGCACAAGGGTTTCATGGGAGCTGCCTTTCTAGATATTGAAAAGGCATATGACATGCTATAGAGCAGTGGTTCTCAAAGCTGGTCTGCTGCTACTTCAGGGAAAGCCCCTGGCAGGTCAGGCCAGTTTGTTTACCTGCTGCGTCCACAGGTTCGGCCTATCACAGCTCCCACTGGCTGCGGTTCGCCGCTCCAGGCCAATGGGGGCTGCGGGAAGTGGCACGGGCCGAGGGATGTGCTGGCCGCCCTTCCCGCAGCCCCCATTGGCCTGGAGCAGCGAACTGCAGCCAGTGGGAGCCGCGATCGGCCAAACCTTGGAACGCAGCAGGTAAACAAACCGGCCCGGCTCGGCAGGGGCTTTCCCCGACCGGCTTTGAGAACCACTGCTATAGAGGAAAGGCTTATTGCACTAGGATAAGGAGGAGACTGTATGGCTGGCTTAGAGAATTTTTGAGTAAAAGGACCATGCAGGTCTGAGTTGGGAAAGTTATGTCGAATATACATAATACTAAAAATGGCACACCACGGGGAAGTGTTATCAGCCCAATGTTATTTAATATTATGACAACTGAAGTTGCCAGGGTAGGTGCCACTCTATTTGCATATGATTGTGCTCTGTGGGTTAGGAGCAGGAATACAAGAAAGAAAGAGCAAGTTATCTGAGCAACTAGAACAGGGGTTCTCAAACTTTTTTACTGGTGACCCCTTTCAAAAAGCAAGCCTCTGAGTGCGACCCCCCAAACACTTTTTTATATATTTAACACCATTATAAATGCTGGAGGCGAAGCAGGGTTGGGGTTTATACTCCAGAGGGGGTGCGCACCTGGGGAACTGGGAGTTCCCTTAACTGCAGCATTCCTATGCAGGGGCTGGTCAGAGAGCCTGCATGTAACTGCAGCTGAGTGTGTCCCTACCTGTATGTGTGCTGGTGAAAGTCCAGGCTGGCGGGCTTTCTTTGCAGCTTGTCACAGCAGTACAGTGTGAGAGGGAGCCCAGGCTGATGGGTCAGGGGGCCCAGTGGTAACCCCGTTCCAGGTGGCACCCTGGGGAGAACCCGTCACAATAGGTACCAAGTAGCATTTTTTTTCTGGCATGGGATGTCTGGAATTTTTCATTGTGTGTCTAACAAATTGGTGCATTGCAAAGATGTCTTTATTAGTGGTCTTTGCAGAGGGTGGAATGCTTTAGTTACCTGATTATGCTGGCCTATTTCCTAAGGCACTGCTTACAGAATTTTGCAATGCGCCTTTCATAGATTCCAAGGCCGGAAAGGACCGCTGTGATCATTTAGTCTGACTCCCTGCATGACACAGGCCATAAATTAATTCCTGTTTGAATTAGACCATTTTTTTTTAAAAAAATCCAGGCTTGCTTTAAAAATTGCCAATGATGGAGAATCCATCACAACCTTGTAAAATTCTCCAATGGTTAATTACCCTCATTTTTTAAAAACTGCCACCCTATTTCCAGTCTGAATTTGTCTAGCTTCAGTTCTACTGTAAGTTCTTTTTGGGAGAATGGTTATTTTGTACTGGAAGCCAAAGAAATACCTGAAGATTCAATCCACAGAAAGCAGTCTCTAATGCTAAAAAGGGAGCACACGCACACACACAATTAGAATTCAAACTTAAAGCAGATGCTCCATTGTTAAGTTAGGAGCTGCCCTGTCCCAAGCTGTTATGGAAATGTCTCTGTGTGTGAAGTGTGGACTATGTAGGGAATGTGGATCTTTAGCTAAAAGATTTTGCAGGGGGAAATGTGAGAGTCGGGGAAACTTTCAGCAACAGTTAACTCAGTGTTAGCAAGCCTAGAAGCCACAGGACAGTTGAGTCAAATGTAGCAGGAATGCATCCGATGAAGTGAGCTGTAGCTCACGAAAGCTTATGCTCAAATAAATTTGTTAGTCTCTAAGGTGCCACAAGTCCTCTTTTTCTTTTTGCGAATGTAGCAGTGGTTCTTCTTCATGCACTTTATGCATATTTGATTATAGGCTGCCATCTGCTGGTCAGTTCAATTCAGCCCAACTAAAAATAATCCCTTTGGAACCCCCCTCACCCTCCCTCCTCCGTTTTTTTATCCACTATGAAAATTTAACTTGCATAAAGATTGTACGGTTCCCGGCGTTGTCCTGAAGGATGTAAGGGCTGCATGTCTAGCATGTTACAAAATGGCCGCAATCGCTGTGAAACATGCAACGTCGAACATTCATCTAATTGCCACAGTAACAGTGGGTTCGTTTTGTATTTTTATCCCTATTTCCCGAAGTTCGGGGTGTCATTAAGACAGTGTTGCTATTTCAGTTGTTGGTTGTAGCCACAGCTGGATGGGTCCAAACTAGTTGCCGACTGGTATTCCAGAGCATCGCTACTTTGTACGGTCGCACATCTGCTAAAGAGAAACTTTTCATGCCCTGGTGTGTTAAATGAATAGCTACAGGATGGATTTGTTGTATTACTATATTTTCTAAGTGGAAAAGAATAACAGAAACAAGAGTAGAAGACTGTACTTCCTGCTAGATACTGTATTCCACAGGGGACTCCTGGGCTTTATTGAAGTGCTTTATTTTAAGAGATACTGTCTAAGAGAATAACATACACTTAAAGGCTGACTTTCAAAACTTTGCTCCCATTGATCTCAATCGTTTTACCATTGACTTCAATGGGAACAGAGTTAGCACAGCACTAAATGTTCTTTGAAACCCCATCCCTTATCTTCAAGATTCCCCTCTCTCCATTTTTTTGCCTCAAAACTTTTATTTTTTTTCCTCCACACTGGAAATATTGAAATTACAAAGAAAACTGGAGGGCTGAGGGTAGACGCCAGTGTCAAACTTCCAAATGAGTACTAGTCTGTGCAGAGTTTATACATAATTTGATACATTTCTATGTCCTTAGGGACAGGATCTTAACTACCCAATTGCAGCAAAGACCCATGTTTCAATATGTATTATCCACTCCAGTCCTTTTCATATAGATAGCGTACACATTACATGTGCCAACACGTTTCAAATAGTCTCCTAGTGCAACCAGTGCCGAGAACTTAAACTAGAATATCTGGGGCACACACAACAGATTTCTTAATGTTATCTGCTGTCACAGAGCAAAAATCTTCTTTGATTTCTTTCTTTTTTACTGAGGATCTTTTGTTTGCAGCATGGGCACCATGTTTGCATCTTCT